CCGCGCCGCGCCCCGCCCCGCCCCGCCCCGGCCGGGGCCGGCCGGCCGGCCTGCCTGCTGCGGCGACTTGCGCGCTGCGAGCCGCGCGGCCCGCCGCCCCCGCGCACCGCGAAGGCCGTGGCGGCGTTTGCGGGGATGATGACCTCATTGCTGGGGTCGGCCGCCAGGATGTCCTCCGCCTCCAACACCTCCCTGGGGGCGGGCAGGGCGGCGGGAGGTAAGGGGGGGCAGTCGGGCGCGAAGTGGTGCGCGCAGTGGGGTGCGCAGTGGGGCGCGCAGTGGGGCGGGCAGTGGGTGGCACCCGCTCATTCGCCGCGTCCCCCGCCGCGGCCGCGGCTCACTCGTCCGCAAACGCGACGTCGTCCTCCGTCCACGGCTCCTCGGCGCCCCCCGGCGGCAGCGGCCCCAGCTCCGCGCGCGCGTCCGCGATCGCGTCGCGCAGCACGCGGCGCTCCTCCTCTGACAGCGGCGCCGTGTCGAGTGCCTCCATGTACTCCTGGAACGTGCCCCTGAATTGTTGCTCCTCCTGGGTTTGATGGCGGTCCACATATGATGCGGTTGTGTGTGATGCGATTGTTGTTGCGGGGCGGGGGCGGTCGCGTCCCGCGGGCGCGCGGCGATGGTAGGTGGGCGGGCGGCGTCCGGCGCGAGCGCGACGGCGGCGGCGGCGGCGGGGTGCCGGGGTTCCGGAGGGGCACCCGAGCCGCCGGCGCGGCCCTGGTGGCGGGGGCTCGGATGCCGGCGCCGCGCAGGGGCCCGCCGCGCGGCGCGGGGGCGGCATTGTGTGCCGGGCGCCATCCTTGATGGCCCATCGGGCCACCTGAGTGGCCCTGGACATCGAAGATGTCAATGGGAACAAAAAGCTGTGCAAGTGGTGGAAGCTGCCACAGGAGGCGGGGTCCCGCTCACCTGGGCAGCCAGGTATTGCGTGAAGAGCTCGACCTTGATGCGCTCTGTTTCGGGATCAAAGGGCTCCTGCAGTGCCTCGTCTGGGGCGGGCAGGTGGGCGGGGCGGGGCGGAGCGGTGGGGGGTGACGCGAGTGCGCAGAGGGGCGCGGAACAGGAGGAGGGGAGGGTGCGTCGATTGATAGCACGGCGCAGTTTGGTGTCACGCAGCTGCAGGATTGCGAGCTCAAAAGCGCTGATCTGAGCCCTGCAGCGGTTTGAACAACGGCCTCGCGGCCTCAGCTGCGGGCAAAGCGGAGGACTCCCTGGCGCTGCGGCGGGCTGCACGCAACACCCACGCCCAAACACGCGTCCCGCCGCGAACGTGCCCCTCGCCGGCATCGCGCGATGCAGCGCCCGAGGCAGGCGCCTCGCACCCCACCCCCTCGAATACCCTGCTGCCGTGCGTTGAGGCCAGGCCGCGGCCTCCCCAGGCAGCTTCCACCCGGCTTCTCTGACCAGCCACCCACCTAGATCCTCCTCTGCCACGACCTGCTCGTCTTCCTCGATCTTGAACCGGTCGGAGTTGGTGCCCTTGGGGACCCGCACAAAATAGCGCCCCTCGTTCGCGTAAGCGGGCCGCACGCGGACGAAGGCTGCGCCGGGTGCGACGCAGCCGGGGCAGAGGTGAGCACATGATGGTGGGCAGCCCATCGCTGCTGCCGCACGCCCTGCGATCGACTGCGATGTTGCGTAGCTCTGCTCCTGCTGGACGCCGTTGCTCTGAAAACGCTGCTGCTGCCGCTGCCGCTGCTGCTGCAGCTGCTGCAGCACAGCTCGCGACCACAGGGCACCAACGCCCAGCGCTGTGGCCCGCCACCCACCGTATTCGCCAGTGTGAAGGCCCACACCGCCAAGGGTAAATGACAGCACCAGAGTCTGTTGCACGTCTGCAGGCTGTAGAAGCAAGGGCAGGATGTGGAAGATGAGATCCGATTGCCGCGCGAGGCAAAGTCAAAGCGTGCTTTTTTGCCAGGGTGGATCAGCGGCGGCTGCTGTTGCTGTTGCGCACGACCAGCATGCGTGCAACATCTTGAAGTGCGCACCCTTGGCAGCTCTTGCATGCCCCTCTCCATAAAGTCCTCATCAGGCGTCTTTTTATTTATAGGACGCTTGGGGCCCGAACGGGCCCCCTTCTCTGCGGGAGCCTCTGCCACGCAGCTGATCGCCAGTCCTGCCCGGCTGAGAGACCTGCGCTGAGCAGTCGATCTACGAACACATGTAAGCCGATTTTTGCTGCCCCATACCGCAGCCTGTCTGACTCCAGGCCCGCTGTATGCTGCAAGGGACCTCATTCTCCCGGCGGTGATCTGAGTTTGAAGCTCTACTGTGGCGGCTTCGGTCGTATATATAGTTTATGCGACATTGAGAGAAGGAAAACCTGCTCCGTGAGACTGGGTGCCACCACCGGGTCACCAGCTCGCCACTCACCAGGACGAGCGCCAGCCGCCACTGCAACAACATCATCTGGCCGCCCCAGTGGATGATCAGACAAGGCTGCGACCATGCGAGTAACTTTCATGTCACTCAAGGGCCACAACGTGCTTCAAATCAACCAACAAACTGCTGCTCTCATACAGGTCAACAAGACCCGTTTGCATTGACTGCCGGGTCACGGTCTTTTTTTCCTGCAGATGGCTTGACATGAATGCTGCAATGTTGGCGCTGCCGCGATGTGGCAGAGTGCACGCAGCCTGCAGTTGCAAACAGAAGCGTTCCGCGTGTGGGGCGAGGCACTGATGTGTAACGTGCTTGGAGGTTGAGGCAGGTGCAAGCGACATAAGATCCAGCCACTTTTCTCTTGTGCGCGTTGTGGGCGGCGGATCCGTGCCACCGAGGTCCGGGGCTTGCATTGTTCAAGGGATCAGGTCAATCAGGACCTTACTGGCGACAAACTTTGTGCAGAGCGCTGTTCTGTTGGCCCAGCATGACTCACAAGTCATGACACCACGAGGGCTGCGTACGCACCGTTGCGAATCTGGTTTCGAACGAGAGCTACTGGCCTGCGCCGTGGTTGGGGCCGCTGCTGAATGTAAGAGTCACAACAGCGGATTTCCGCAAACCCCGCCGCAGTCAGCAGCTTGCACCTCGCATGGCGCGCGTATTCAGCAGCCATGTCCATGCAACGTAGCGTTGTCTAGGCAACCGACACGCTGCCAGCAGTGAATACGTGGGCAGCTGCGAGCTTGGCAAGAGGGGCAGCTGCGCTGATGCTCTGTACACAACTCTCTGATTCAACCACAAGCAGTGATGCTGCCAAACATCACTTCGAACGGGGCAACGTTTACTGTGTGCTGGCAGTCTCCTGGCTGTTTTTACTGGGCAAACATGCGCCAGGGCAGCACCCACACCTCACCCAGTACCAACAGCCCAGGCTGGTCTGGAGATTGGCTAGCAGTGTTGAGGGCGAAACGCGCGTCCAAACGCCAGTCATGCGGGATGTGCATGTGGGCAGGGACCGTCCTCCTGCAAGGCTGCCTTTAGTAGGGCCAACAACCGTCCACACCCCGCCGCCGCGCCCGAGTCCAGCTGCTCGTGCACTCGCAGCCGAATGTCATCCGCGACAGAGCGAACGCCGCAGCTGCCGGCGCCGTCTGGCAGGCGCCGCAGTAGCACATGCAGCGCGGCCGCGGCTGCGCAGCGCACGTCGTTCTGCGGGTCATCCAGGGCTGCCATCAGGTGCTGCGCGGGCTCCTGCCAAACCCCGGGCCGCGTCGCATCCCCGTGCTCCTGCTGTTGGTTCTGCTGCTGCTGCTGCTGCTGCTGCTGCTGCTGCTGCTGCTGCTGCTGCTGCTGCTGCTGCTGCTGCTGCTGCTGCTGTGGCTCCATCGGCATACCGCCGCGGCTGCCATGACTGCCCTCCATCTCTGCACCTTGTGGTGGTGGCATACTCAGCAGTGCGTCCACACCCAAGCACTCCACTGCTGCGCGCACGGTGCTGCAGGCCTGCAGCCGCACAGTTGCGCTCCGTCCCGCCGCCATGCATCCGCAAACTGCCCCGCCGCAGGTGCGCCATGCATAGCGCACTACCCCTCGCAACGCCGCCGCCCCTTGATCGACAGGCTGCGCTGGTGACGATGCCGAAGGCTCCGATCCGCACGCCAGCAGCGCCAAGCGACGCAGCACACGCAGGCCGCTCACCGCCGCCGCGTCGCTGCCGCCTTGCCGCAGCAGCAGTGGGATGGTCGTCGACGCCAGGTGATGCGCGGCTGCCACTGCCTTTGGCGAGCCCTTTACGAGATCACCTGCAGGCAGCATCGCAACCACTGTGTCCAGCGTGAGCAGCAGCAGTCGCTGTGGCCTGCTGGCCACTGTGTGATCGCCGCTGCCGCTGCTGCCGCTTCTGATGCTGCTGACGCCGGTGCTGCGAGAAGCGCTGCTGCTCATGTCGACGCTGCCGCCACTCTCGCTGCTTCCGCCGCCGCCACTGCTGTCTGACATCGTCACTGCGTTGAAAAGCTGCAGCAGGGCTGCTGGCTGGGACCAGCGCATTCCCCACTCGTCAGCACGCACCGGCGTTGGGCTGCCGTTGATCACGCACTGGTTGTCATCCCCGAGTGAACGGCAGCGCCAAGGGGATAACCCCTGACAACCGGGTGACGGATGCTGCATTGCCGCCTCAGGCTGCGACTGCAACACACGCGCCATTGAGGCGGGCAGCAGCGCGCGGCAGAAGGCCGCCACGTGGCGCACTGAGGCCAGGGAAGCTGGGCGGTCCCCGAGCTGCGAGTTGGCGGTGCGCGCATGGGTGAGAGTGTCGCTTTGTGATTGGTTGGGGCACAGAGATGGGAAAATCTAAATTGGCTCAGCAACAACTTTCGATCAAGGGGGATATGAGGCCGGCGCACAATCTCATGAGGGGTGGCGAGGCCGGCGCACAGTCTTACCAGGCGCAAGACCATCTCCCTGTGCTGTGCCAGCAGCCTGTCAACAGACCCATCGCCGCTGCCTCCCCCGCCGCCTTCCCGCGTCGCTCCGACAGCGCCCGCCAGCATGCGCAGCAGCTGCTCCGCCTCCTCTGCTTGCATCGCCGCCACTTCTGCCTCAGCTGCAGCAGCGGCGGTGGCGTCCTGCCGCACCAAGCCGGCCCGGTCAGACGCCAGAGACAGCAGCGCCACCACCAGCAGCTGCGGCGCGTGCTCCGCAAGCACGGCCGGCGGGCATGCGGCGATCAGCTGGCGCGCAGCTTCCAGGCAGGAGGCGCGCAGGTGCTTGTCGTCGGACTCTCCGACTTCCGGATCCAGCAGCAGCTCCAACACGATGGGCGCTGCCTCAGCGGCGCTGCCCCCGTCGCCGGCGCCTGATCCGCGCAGCACGTGCGCCAGCGCCAGAAGCGCGTCGGCGCGCGCGCATGCGTCCGCTCCGGCGTCGCGGACGCGTGGCAGCAGGAGGGCCAGCAGCTCTGGGACGCTGCAGGCGCGGCCGAGCAGGGCGCAGCAGCTCTCCACCTGCTGCCGCGTGGTGGACTCGCGGATGGCCTGCGAGAGGGGCAAGGCGCGTAGAGCAATTCATCTAAAGGCCCTTGACAATTATGTGATTTAGAGTGTAAACGGCTAAAAGTGTCATACCACCTGTAGGCATCCAGGCCATCAGCAGACAGGGTTTTATGTTAATGTTGCAAGGCTGCAAGGCGTCACCCACCTTAGTAAGGGCCGGCACCAAGAGCTGCAGGTGACCCTCTGCCTTGCGCCCCAGCAGCAGCAGCACCGCTTCCAGCAGAGCAACACACCTTTGCATCCGGCAATCGGTATGGTGGCTTTTTTTAAATGATGAATGATGTTGTGCCCGGGCAATGCCTTTCACCTGTGCTGGATGATATTGAAACCGCAGCAGCACCCAAGGCCACCTCTGGCGCAAATTCCCTCGCACCTGGTCCGCGGCCCCGCCTGCCAGCTGGACAGCTCTGCGCACATGGGCGCCAGCAGCCGCCCCGCATTCCCCTGGACCAACAGCCGCGCCCCCAGCCGCGGTGGCGCCGCCGCCAACGCCGTTGGGAGCCACTCCTGTTGCGCTGCTCCAGGACCGCCGGCGCTCGCCAGCGCTCCCAATCCTGTGCAGCTGTTGACAGCGGTGATGCCACCATCAGCAGCTGCCTCAGTAGCGGCTGCCTCTGCAGGGCAGTACCGCAGCAGCTCCTTCACCTCCGCCTCGTGCTCCTGCTCGTACTGCTCACCCAGCTGGTCCAGCAGGCGCGCCGCCTCACATGATACCTTCATGGCGTGGGCACCGGCAAGGGCAGGTGCACCGCAGCCGCATGCTGATGCTGGGGTTCAGACCACGTGAATCACGACAGCCATTGCCTGGGCGCTGATAAAGGCAGCGGCACGGCGCAGCTCCTCCCATCACGCATGCGCGAGCCCGCACCTGCGGCCCCTCGTCTACCATCCCCGCCAGCAGGAAGGGCAGCAGCCGGCCCTCGTGGTCGACGCGCTCCGGGAGGCGCAGCATCCAGTCCCCCACCACCCGCAGGAACTCCAGGCGCACCTGGAAGGTGGGGAGGGGGGGTCGGCTTCAGTCCGCTCGGCCGAGCCGGTCCGGAGAACCGACGCGGGACAGCCACGTCACTGTTGTACTAGCGAGCGTGCTCCAGCGGCCAGCAGCCGGCCCGCCGGTCTTTGTGGCGTTGCCGGGGCGGGGGCGGCGCTGCAGGCGCAACCCTGCCCCCACCTGCGCGTTGGCGTCGGCCGCCAGCTTGCCGCAGAAGTTGACTCTGAGGTCAGGATCCCCATAGAAAGCGGCAACTGGCACCATGTTGGGGTCCCTGTGGCCCACCATCTCCAAGATCATCTCGTGAGCGCCCTGGGTTGGGTGCGAGCGCGGGTTCCGGGGTATGGCGATGATTCACACAGAGCGGGCTTACCTTGGTGTATGGCAGGCTCAAGTCGTGCAATGGCCGCCACCTACATGGTTGCAACGATGATGCTGCATCATCGCAACAGCCGGTCAGCTGTTTCGGGAGCGGCTCGCCACCCTACCTGGTGCATCAGTGGCCCCAGCGCGCGCAGTGCGGCGACGCGTACGCGGTACCGCTTGTGCGTGGTGAGCGGTAGCAGCCCGGCAACGAGCTGCTTGGACACAGGCTGCAGCCGCATGCCCAGGGACGCTGCAGCAGGTCGGGGCAGGAAGGCGTGATGGAGATTCAGGACTGGCTGCTGTGCACAGCATCAGCCATCACAGGCGCGCTTTGCATGCCTTCGCTGGCTGCATGCTACACATGACTGATGTGGCGTCAAAGCGCATTCAAACCGCACCCAACCACAGAACCTTCTGTTTGCCTCCCGCATCGCCGCTTATACCTCATCAACCAACGCCCAAGCTCACCCACAAGCGCGTGCACGCATGAGCACGCCTCCAAGTTCACTTCATGGTACGCGTCCCCCAGCGCCGCCTCCAGCACCGCCAGCACCTCCCCCGCATATGCACACACCGCCTGGCCCACCTGCCAGCAGCCGTGTCAAGATAGGGGCGGGAAGAGATGCAGCGCTCGCAGTCGCCATTGTTCTTGCCCACATGACTCAACTCCAGCATGCCCGTGTGGCTGGAATGCTGCATGCGTGGCACAGAGCCCGAGGTTGGGAGCATGCACTGGAAGAACATGTCGTCCCGGCTCACCTGGCTAACGAGGAACCCAAACAGCTGCGCCAGGGTGAGCCGCACCTCCTCACTCGGCTCTGCGGGGCCCGCTGCGCCGCCGCCGACGACAGCGGGCTGCAGCGGCGGGCGCACGCGCACGCGAGGGCATGCGTGCGTCAGTGCTGCTTCTGGAGAGGCAGACCTCGAGCAATTTGAGCCGGTCAAGTCGGTGAAACACTGAGTGTGTGGTCCAGAACACCCAATGCTGACACGCAGGCCGTGCCAGCACTTTGTCAGGCGTGCAAGGATTGCATTACTGGGTTGTGGCAAGTGCGAGTGCTGCCATTGTTGTATTGCAGGCCACCTTCTTGAACACGGCTACCACTTCTCTGGGGTCCGAGCATCCCCCATCCTGCTCGTTGTTGACGCAAAGCGCACCTTGCGCCGCAGGCGCTCCTCCAACACGGGCACAACATAGGGCAGCAGCCCAAGCGCCTCATCTGGGCAGCTGCGCAGCAGCTTCAGCACGCAGCTGGCGGCCAGGTCGCGGCACTTTTCTGATACGTCGTCGAAGCGGCGCAGCAGCGGCTTGCACATGGCGCGGAGGAGGTCCCGCGGCCGCTGGGCGGCAGTCACGGCGCCGGCGCCGGTTGCGGGGCAAGCAGATCCGGTGCCAACATGGCGGTCCTCCAGGGTTGCCTAAGGGGTGGAACGGTCCAATCCACCGCATTCGCTGAAGGCATGCGCGCTGTTTACACAACACTTGCGTGACCGGACTGTATGGTGGCGTCGCAGCCGGTGAGCAGGCCGCAAGGGCATGCGTGCAGCTGCAAACGGCCAAGCACATGAATTGCGGCCTGTTGCACCTGGACGAGCTCCAGCGCCGCGCGCCGTGTGCGCACGTCGGGGTCGAGAAGCTGCTGAACGCAGCGCTCCAGAGCAGTGCCGTCCAAGTGCCGCTCGCTGACGTCGCTGTCTACGCTGTCGCAGCGACCTTTAGGTGCTGAATATGTCGTGGCCGTATCATATGGCCGCGTCACGACACTCGTGGGCGTCGGAACAGATACTTCATATTGGCGGGCTCTGACTTGGCCCCTTGATCGCACTGCGTCATTGCGCAGGCCTTGCCAGAGCCTTTCAAATCCCTCATTGCGAGCTCCACCCTTATTGCTAAGCTCTTTCCACACATCAGCCACAGATGATCTGTGACCCGTGTCCATGCCTACCGGGCGTTGTTCGTCACAAAGCAATCACCAAATTATTTCAAGGTCTTCATTCTGATCCGATATCTACGGGCTACGGTACATGCTCAGGCTGTTGCCTACGGTAGATGGTGCACCGTGCTCTGCTCTGGGGCCTGGCGCAGCGACAGCCACCGCGCTGCTCAAAAGGCCAGTGCTGCGCCGAGTCCTGCCTGAAGGCGTGCGGTATCGTGTTTGAGAATAAGGTATCCGTGAGCATACAGATAGCTTCAAGCCCGCAGGTGGCGCTGAAATGACTTTGCAGAGCCGTTGACCATTGTGGCCTACAATCGAGGCCAAGTTGCAGCTCAGGCATCGCACAGATTTAGGAATAGCTTAATAATTCGTTGACCAAGGCGTTGGAGCCCCAGCGTTGGCTTTCATCGCGGTCACCCCGCACCCCGTCGCAGACCACCTGAACGCCTTTGGCCACGGCCCTCAGGTGGGAGGGATGCTGGCCTCAAAGCAGATTTCACGACCATTTTGCCTGGTCGCGGCCGCCGCCTGCAAGTGTGAAGACCCCCGCCAAAATGAATCCCGCCTGGAGCTGCGCACTCGACAATAGAACACTCGGGGTTTATGCAGTTATACGCATTTGTGCCTGATGGTCTTTATGATCACCACTTCTGTGGTCGCGCGCCAACCACGCGCGCACACCTCGTGCTCACACCGCAGCGCAGGGAGCGCCTAAAATGGGCGCAGCTGTGCCCGTAACCGCGGCGCTTGCTGCTGCCCAGGCTGGGTCAGTGGGCATCGGGTTCAGGTGCGCAGCTGATCCCCCCACGTGTTGGGACTTGCGGCGCACTTTGGCCCTCATTGGCACCAGCATCGTGCTCACACCGCACCTTCTCCGGCCACTTGGCACTGTTTGCCTTCCATGTGCGCAGCGGGGGCGGGTTCCTTATCCCCTTCTTCCTGGGAGTCATCCACGTGCTATACAAGGACCTGGGCATCCTGAGCAGCAACACTCCAGTGGCAGGCGGCTCTGCGGGATCAATCGTGGCAATGTGCGTTTGGAAAGGCGGCACGCGTTGCAGCCAAGGGGCCATGGGGTGTTGCCCACATGGCTGAGTGTCCCGGCTGCGGGGTGTTGCAGCTGGCAGCATCCGTTGGCTTCAACCTGATTTGAATGTGGTGAACTCCTTATGAAAGGGGCTTGGCTCAGCAGCAAGCATCGTCAGCTACGCCTTGCTCACAATGAGGCACCGCGCACTCCCGCCGAGTGTGTGCGCTGTGCGCGACATTTGCAGGACTGCCAATGGCGTCATCAACTATGAGTCCATGCTGGACGAGGTGCACCGTCTCTCCGCCTTCTGCCGTGGCCACGGCAACTGCTACGGAACGCTACAGGTCAGGCTGCACCACCGGAGGCGCCCGCTGTTCACCACACAAAGAGGGCTGCCCGCATCAGCGTTGTGCGGACCGCAACAAAATCCTGACACACCCCCGCTTACATGTTGATTCCCGCTCGTCAATCCTTGGATTTTGTATATGCATCCTTGGACTTTGTATACACAACCATGTATATGTGTATGGTTTGAATATTGCAAACCATTCCTCCTGCCACCCTCGACTGCCCTAGTCCGAGGTGATGGCGTCCGCGGAGCGGCTGCTGCCCCCAGACGCCGCCGAGCGGACCAACAAGCAGGGGCGCACCTATCTCCAGATCACATATCCCAGCACCTTGGGGCTGGAACCGGCTCAGAGTAGGAGTGTGAATAAGTTCAAGAGCAGGCCAGACCTCATTTCGGCTGTGGCCAGCTCGATCTACATTCCTTGGTGGGCCGGCCCCAGGGTCGTCACCGAGTGAGTGCCAGGGGCCGCCTGACACCTTGTTGTCAGGCGTTCTGAAGGTTTATTGTACATGCAGCAGTGATCTTATAGCTCCCATGCTTGTTCTTCCCACAGCTCGCGTGCACGGCATGCCCCCCCCACCTGGACCTCGCCGCTCGCACGACTGTGCCTTGCCCACGCTGCTGCCCGCCCTGCACCACCAAAATCTCACCAACCCCCCATGCCTTGCCCATCGCCCCAGATTTCGAGGCGACATGGTGTATGACGGCTCCTTCAACGGCCCCGGCCCCGGCTTCCTGCCCTGCCCCCCCAACATCACCTACTGCGTGCGCGTCAGCTCGATGCCGGCCGGCTTCTCACTCGGCTCCTTCCTCGTCGACATCCTCACGGCCGGCCCCGCCGCGCTGCCAGTGCTGGGCCCCGTGCTGCGCACCACAATCCACGGCCCAAACCTGCCGACGCACCTGGCAAACGCGGCGATTGCCTACCTGACGGGCGAGAAGCTGTCCGTGGCCAGCGAGCCAGGGCAGCTGGCGAAGCTGGTGCACGCGCTGCTGCAGCTGGTGACGCCGGGGGAGGGGGAGGCGGACATCTGGCCGGGGCGGCGCCACAAGCTGCCCTTCAGCGAGCTGGAATGGGCGACGGGCATGATCAGGCCACTGGTGGGTGATCACGCCACGGTCAGCGACGAGGGCGGTAGCAGTGCAGGGGGTTGCAGAGGGCCTTGGGATAGCTGCCCGCACCGTTGAGCACCTGTGCAGTCATGGAATCAAGGATTGTGAGCACCATTTAAGCACGATGGTCAAGCGAGCACCTTCGCATCTCCACCCGCGACTGCAGGAGCCTGCTGGGATCAAGGCTGTGTTTGAGCTTGGGAAGGCGGAGGCCTTGTCCTGGGCCCAGGAGGCTGGATTCCTCAAAACCACACGCAACAAGAATGGCGCTTGAACGAATTTGGCAGCAGGATGGGAGTGTTGTGGCCATTTCTTTTGACACGGGATGTCAGCGCCAAGCTTTGGCCTGCTGCGGTTTTGAAAGCGCTGCTATATATGCGAGGGAGGGAGGCACACACTGTGGCCTCATGCAACCATATGCAGCACTCAAATATCTGCGCTATGGTTGACAGAGGTCTTCTGGGTCTTTATTCAAAAACCAAGTTGGATTTGCAGCAATATCTTCTCCTTCTCTACCCAGACTCGAGAGGACGAGCGGTTGTGATGTTGAGCTGTGTGCTCGTCAAAACGTCACATCTGCCCAAACAACCAAGTCATGCGCATGTATGCTGGCTGCTGTACTGATGCAGTCCCACAACCAACACTGCAATTGCCACCATGATCATATCCTTGTACATACCAGGATGGTGCTTGCATTGATCGGTTGCTAGCTGCTCAGTTGCTTGTGCTTTTGCCTGTTTTGTAATCACCAACGGGCACCTGATGAGCATGCAGCAGGGATTGGACCACGATTCCAGATTTCTTATTGTGTTAATCAAAAGTTCAGCGTGTACTCCTTTTCGGCAGTTTCTGAGGCCCAAAATTGGTGGTTGCCACCAAGTGGCTTCCCTGCTGAAAGTGCGCTTCATCGCCTACCTGCGCCTCAGACGCTGAAAAGAAATTTTTGTGTACCTCCCTCACGCGTGGGAAACAGTTTGGGCCCCTCAACAGCATGGTGACAGTCGCGATGGGCAAGTGACACCAGCGGTCCACCCCCGTGCTTGGCGTTCGTCTAGGGCGCATTCGAATTTAAAACGCCACATACTTGCGTAGCACTTTCTATTGCGCGCGCTGCCATCATCGCGACGGTCTGCCACTTTTTGCCTGTTACAGGGGAGGTGCGCAGGACTCATACGTCTTTTAAGACGCCAATTATGACAAGTTTGCGTCTAGTTGGCTGCTAGCATCGCGCACGCTGTTTGTAGCAGCGGGACGCGCCGATTACTCCTGCCCGCATTGCAGCCAACACGCAGCCCGCGCTGCTGCCCTGCCGCTCCGCCTCTTGCCATCTCCATCCGCAGGGACAGCATCATGGCAGCTGTTGTACCTATTACTGCAGCTTATGCTGCAGCCCAGGCAGGGTCGATAGGGATCGGCTTCAGGTGAGAGGCGCGGCACTGCGCAGCCACGGGCGCTGGTCGCGGCAGGCCGCAGGCGCAGTCCGACCAGGCCGCAGCCCATGACAGAGACTTGGCGTGCGACTCACTGCCCTACCACTGGCGACGTAGGCCCCCAGCTGCCTGCACTCAGCTTATACAAAGATGACAGTCACTCGCCCGGTGTCCCCATACTCAATCATGCAGCGGCGCGGGTTTCCTTATCCCATTCTTCTTGGGAGTGATAGGTGAGGATTTTTCAGGGAACCCGGCTGCAGACCGACTGCACTCGGGGATGTCGCAAAGGGCAGAACATCAACAGTCAGGGCACCGGCCATGGTGGCAATCTCACGGTGCAGAGGTCTTGATGACCCAAACCCACCACAAATTGCCTGTCCCATAAACATCAATATCACAGATATGCTGTACAACGAGCTCAAGATAATGAAGGCCAGCGACCCGGTAGCCGGCGCCTCATCCGGCTGCCTGGCGGCCATGTAAGCCCCAGCTCAGCAGCTGGTTGCATGCGGTTCGGACGCACGGCTTGCACTGTTGGCAAATTGTGACAGGGCGACGGGCGTGAGTACGTCCAATAGCTCCGCCAGCCCCTCACCAACGCCCTTGGCTGCGTTTTCTCATCATCAACATCACCCCACTTGGGATGTGATTCCATAACAGGGTCGCCAACGGCATCTTTCCCCCCAAGACAATGAAGGAGGAGTTGGAGACGCTCTCTGAGTTTTGCAGTAGCCATGGCAATTGCGGCTGGCAGCTAAAGGTGCGGGCGGGTGGGCCCCTAGGATGACGTCTTGGAATGTTAGAACCGGAAGTTTCTTGCCGATTCCGTCATCAGCAACAAGCAATACTGATGAAATGCAGCAAGTCCAGTATTGTCAAGCCAACCGGCAGCAGCAAGCCGCCCTCAAGCATCTCCGCACCCCTGCACAACGCGTCTGCCTGCGTCTCGACCCAAAATTGCCGGTCACAGGAAGAGGTGGCAAAGGTGATCAGGCAGCAGCTGGGAGGTGACGCAGCGGAGCGCGTCAACAAGCACGGCAGGACGTACATCGCAATCACGTTCCCCGACCCAGCCGGGAAGAAGCCCGCAGAGCAGCGGCTGATCAGTCGCTTCAAGGATACTGAGGACTTGATACAAGCAGGGGAGGCGTCAATCTACGTTCCCTTGTGGGGCGGCCCCACCATGACCACCACGTAAGCATTGAGCAGGGCGCGGCTCGTGACTAGAATGGGTCGGCAGCCGCCACACAACCACCTCGACGGGATCGTCGCTGCGCTTTGTAGCGGTGAGATCGCCCGCCCTGCTCCGAGCCCATTATGTTCGATACCAGCCAGTGGCATGCCTAGTTCTTGCACTTGCTGACGCGCATGTATCTCGATGTGTGCTGAGCCGCAGGTTCCGCGGCGAGCCTGCATACGATGGCTCCGTCGCCGGCCCCGGGAGCGGCTATTTGCCCTGTCCCCCAAACGTCACATACGTGAGCAACCTTGAGCGCGCGGATGGCTAGCCTGCGCACCTTCCATCGAAGTTGGCAAACGTTGACAGGCCGGATGCTGGGAAGGAGGCAGGCAGCTCCGTTGACTCAATGCACTCACGCCTCATACGGGCTGCCGCCCGTCGTCCCCGCTCCGCAGTGTATCCGCATCAACGCCCGCCCCGCGGGCCAGACCGTCCTGGGGTACCTCACCAGCGACTTCATCCGCGACGCCCCGGGCTCGGCCGCCTTCCTCGCGACTGCTGTGGGCAAGACTGTTCTCAACGGGAACCTTGCTTCCGGCGCGACGCGGGCAGTGGGCGCCTATGCAGCCGGCAGCCCGCAAAAGGTGGTGAACGAGGCGGGCATGCTGGTCCAGCTCCTGGCGGCGATTAACAAGCAAGTCATGCCGGGAGAGGGCGACGCCGACATCTGGCCGGGGCGGCGCCACAAGCTGCCAGTGTCGCCGTACGTTTGGACGGGCTGGGCGGGCGCGCCGCCGGTGAGTCGCGTGCCTGTTGGTTGGTTTTGTCCGAAGGGGGCTGCTGAGCGCTGCTGGCTCGAAGGGGCGGGCCCCACATACCCATGCCATGCGTTGCAATTACGCTGCAATGAGGTCTGCGCTCAGCTTTTTGGGGACTACTCAGGCAGCATTGAGGGGCATGGAGCAATCACAACAGCCCGCAGAATGCATTTGTGCTTCATATGCTGGCGCTGCAATCCAGCAACGCGGCCTCTGCACCACCTTCAGCATCCAAGTCCCGCACAACTTCATCGCACCCCAACAAACGTAGGGGCACGAGGGCCTCTACCAGATGTACGAGCTCGGCCGGGCCGAGGCGCTGACCTGGGCGCTGGAGGCGGGGTTCCCGCAGGCGAAGGGCTGCAATCTGGAGCGCCGCACGGGCCCCATGGCCATAGGGCCGACGCCAAAGCCCAAGCGGCGCTAGGCAAGCGTGCTGACGGGGCACCCGGAGGCCCAAAGGATGCCGATCGCTCACCAGCAGGGCATTCAAGCCACAAACACTGCAAACCTGAGGGCAAGTGCATCGATGAGATGGTGGGGTTTGAGTCATCCCCACAAGTGAGGGATTAGGGAGGCCAGATGGCCTGGCCTTGCAAGTGCACACGCATTGACCAGGCGATGAAGACACTCTTGGCTTGCTGACCGGGGCGAGATCCATCAATGCTCTTCCGACGCGGGCGCGGGGCGAGAAATCAGCTGGGTGTCGTGCAGGCATGTTGGCTGGCTTTTGCGTGAGGTACTGTCATAATTTGCACAGGGTGCTCAGGTCAACTCGACGGCACCCTTGACCAGGCCGCCCTAGCGGCCCGCGCGCACGCGTCGGCACGTCTGAATGGCAGGTATATATATCAATGAACAAAAGAATGAATATTTGCAATCTCCAAGATTGCCAAGAAGATTGCCAAGAAGTCCAGGCCCTTTCTGCCCGGATCTTGGAACGACCTTGATTTCTGATGGTTGTGAGAGCGCCTCGTGCCCGCAACTCCCTGCGCGCCAACTTGACAGTATGCATAGGCAACCCCCAGTTATCCCCCTCGAGCATTATTATTTCAGGGGTGTGTGATCCCCTCTCGCCTCTTGCTGCACCCCTCTACAAGACAGCACATTGTCCTGGCTCCGGCTGTACTGAGCATGCCTACCAACTGCTCTTTTTAATTGGCATCAGCTCACGGCAGGACCTTGACAACCCGACTTTGCGGCCCACCCACCAGCATTAACAACTGTTGCAGGGCGATGGGAAGTGTCATGTTGTGCCTGAATGGCGGTGCGCAACTTTCAATCCTTGCCTATGCAACTTCGAGGTGTAAGATGCTCCAGAGCCCCAAATCTCGTTGCCTGCGTCTCCCGAGGCAGGCCTGAGCACAACAGGTTGCAACGTGTGCGTGGACCGTGTCCACACACATGGCTGTCATCATCACTGGCCTTGTCGGCAGCCACCCATTCTCTCGTGTTGCGTTGTAATTCCACACTTAATGGTGCGTGTCTTTGTGGCATCTTTGTGTATGGATTCCCCCTGCTGCTGCTTGTACAATACATTGAACTGTCGTGAAATTTGAATTGTCGGCCGGCAGGTGAACCGGGACTCGCTATCAACATAAACAGATCAATATTCTTGATCAATCAACGAAGTTACTTGAGGGACTCTCAGCAACCGGCAGATCACGGAACAAAGAAACTCACGGAAATGCACCCCGCAGCACTTGCTGCACGGCGGGTCGTGGTGATCGGAGGGGTAGCTGGAGGCGCCAGCTGCGCGGCTCGCCTGCGTCGGCTAACAGAGACGGCGGAAATCACGCTGTTTGAGCGCGGTGAGGCCGGTGCTCTGCTGCGTCAGCAGTGCAAGCCACTGACAGAACAAGCTCCTGCGCAAGGCGCGGGGTCCGCAGGGGCGCTCAACAAACACCCAGCCACTTCATTGTCTGAGATCATTCGCTGTTCAGCAAACATGGCTGGAGCTGGTTCAAAATGCGGCTGGGTGCTGACATGGACGCAGTCCGATGAGCATCTCACAGTTGAACCTCATGGCATGCTCGCGCAACTTTCCCTGCAGGCGCCAACGTCTCGTTCGCAAATTGCGGCCTGCCCTACTATGTCGGAGGCGTTATCACGGTGTGGCGCCATGCAGCCGCAGTGTTGGAGGCCCGTCGCTGCATGCCCTTGTGCACCTGCACGGGAGCAAACGCACACCCATATATGCAGCTGCCGGCCGTCCCACCCCTGCGGCACCCATACCTACTCACAATGCCCCCAGCGCCCTCATAACCAGTCAACCTCACAGGGTGCTGCCATCCCCATGAGCGCGAGAGCCGCCAACCCCGCGCGTGCGCGCATGCGCTCCTGTGCAATTTCATCCGCCACCTGCCGCTGCACTCCCCAACCCCTACTCCTTCCCGCAGGACGAGAGCAAGCTCCTGGTAGCCAACGCGGCCAAGTTCAAGAGCTGGTTTAACGTAGATGTTCGCGAGAGGACCGAAGTGGTCGCCATCGACCGCCAGGTTGGAGAGGGGGTGGTCGGCATGCTTGCAGGTGCTCGTGTGCGTTGCGTGCATGCACGCAGCCGCGCACGCCCAGCATGCGTCAGCACACCGCATGGGCCCCAGTGCCTGGGCTGATGCGCGCGGTGGATGCAGCGGCGTGGGGGGCGGTAGGTGCAGTTGGTAGACGTGCTGGCGTATGCATGTGGTAAGGCAAGGCCGGGCACTACGCTGGGAGCCTTGCTTGGCTATGTGCTGTGCGAGCAAGCGCAGCAGAAAGGACACCCACATCATAAGGGCGTGCGCGTTGTGGCGTCGCCGAACGCGGCTTGTGCAAAGCATGCATGTCGGCAAAAGGCACCCGCATGTTGCACGCCAGAGGGTACACACAATGCTCTTGATAGGCGCTCAGCAGCACACCCTGACGCCAACCGGTCCTTTCGTCCAACCGCCGCACTGTGCTGCCTTTTGTTTGCCAACCTGCCAAGCGTGCCGGGTCTAAGCCCTATAGCTGTCGACCACCCCCTCCCCCAGGCCCGAACCATCACGGCGCGCGAGCTGCCCACTGGCCGCGAGTACAGCGCCCCTTTTGACGCCCTGGTTCTGGCGCCTGGCGCGCAGGCCATCCGGCCCCCCCTGCCCGGCATCGACCTGCCCGGCATCTTCCAGATGTGGGTGTGGCTTGCGTGGGTCCGCGCTGCTGGCTGAGCAACTGGGCTTGGGGTATAAACAAGGGTCGCTTCCTGCCATGCGCCCTGTGCCCCTCTCATTGGGTCGGCATCAGCACAAATCAACCAGGGCTTGCATGCTGCGCGTTTGCGTACAAGAACACGCACGTGCATGCACACATGCACACCCACAAGCTCACACCCTCACGCACCCCACTCCCAAACACACGAACGCAGGAAGACGATCCCCGACTCCAATGCTGTGCGCTCGTTCATTGAGGCCAACGGCGTGCGACGCGCCGTCGTGGTCGGGGCCGGCTTTATTGGTCTGGAGATGGTTGAGAATCTGGTGCACAGGTGACAGGAGATGGGAGAAGGTTTTCTTTGTTTATGCCGCTGCTGCTACTACTGCTGCTGCTGTGTCGCGCGCACGCAGCAAGTGGCCAGTTACGATTGCGTGGTTCAGCGTATGCCCGGCGTGCGGGATGCTGCTGCACCTTGCCCTGCAATCGCCGCAGGGGCGTTGAGGTGACCCTGCTCGAGGCGGGTTCGCAGGTAGGGGCGAGCGCTTCCACGCCTTCCTATGCCCTGGACGGCGTGCGCGCGCTAGCGGCAGGCGGATGCGTGGTTTTGCCTGTGGCTGTCTGCGCTTCAGCCTGCTGCTCTCAACATGAGCTTGAAACTGTCCCAGGGCCAACCAGCTGTATTGAGATCGCAGCTCAAAAACCCATTCAATCCCCCCTTCATTTTTTGCCAACCTTTCTGCACCCCAACCTGGCAGGTGATGCCGCCCCTGGACCCCGAGATGGCACAGGCCGTGTCGGCCGTGCTGGCCTCAAAGGGCGTCAAGGTGGTGCTGGGCGATGGCGTTGCAGGCTTTGAGCAGGTGCGCATGTGGGGGGTGCCATTGCACACCTGTGGCGCGAAGTGCATGCCATATCACTTTTGTATAGGCATTGAGGGGTGCAGGCAGCGCGGTCTTGAACCCCCCCACTTATTGTCGGACTGCGACAACTGACAGAGTACTGGCCCCGGCCGCCTGGCTGGCATCCCCGCGACCAACTCGTGCCTTGCCCAAATTGCGCTTTAGACTCCAATTGGATGAGCTTGTATGGCTCCAGAAGCGGGTGACTGCAGTGACGCTGTGACAATAATCCAATCCTTCTAGTGGACCATCTGTCTGACGCAGGGCCCAGGCGGCAAGGGGATGATGGTAAGAACTTCTGGTGGTAAGACGTACGACGCCGATATGGCTATGCTGGTCATAGGTAGGTGCACGCGTGCTGCTGTGACAGCAGAGGGCAGCAAGACTCTGATCCTCAGCAGTGGGAGCCGCTTGTACTTGAGAAGCGAGGGAGCTTTGTGCCTGTCCACGGTGAATCCATGGTCATCATAGCCGCAGCAGGGCCGCGACAGGTGCTGCAACGATGCTGTGTTTGAATGGGTGCCACTCAGCCAGGTGCATGTACGTGCGACCTCACCCCTCAGCCCGCCTAACCTCGTCGACTCTTCATTCCAATGAAATTGATGTCAATAGGACACTTGCGTGACTGTTGTACATGGCCACACCCAATTACATCCCCAAGTTCGCTCCTGGCTTTCCGCCTCCCATCACCCCAAATCCCCAGGAGTGCGGCCTGACACAGCCCTAGCAAAGACTGCAGGCCTGGAGCTGGGGGCGCGGGGCGGCATCAGGGTGGATGAGCACATGAGGACCTCAGACCCAGTCATATATGCAGTGGGTGAGTGTCACTGCCACTGCCCAGGACTAGTGCTTCGGCTCCTGCAGCAAGGGGATGCAGGTCGCGCTCCCAGGTTGGCGCGCTGAGCACAATCTGGCTGTGTGGTTGCACGGGTGCTTATACAGGACGAAAAGCCCAGCTGCATGCGAGAAGCCCCCTTCCCGCCCGGCTGCACTCCTGTTCTGATCGATGAAGCCCGCTGCCGCGCCCGCCACCAGGGGACGCGGTGGAATCGAAGGACTGGGTGACGGGCGAGTGGGGGCTGTGCCCGTTGGCCGGCCCGGCTAACCGTCAGGTCTGGTCACTGTGTTGGGCTCAGGTCGCCTTCAGCCGCAGTTTGGCCGGGTGATGTTGTCAGGGTACGGTGTTGTGAGGGTGTGCGTCTGTCTCAGATAATACTCATTAAGTGCATGTATGTGGTGGGGCTTGAGCCGTGCCCCGTCCACATTGAAACCCGCCACGCCGCGCAGGGCCGCATCGCGGCTGACAACATTGCCGGCCGCGACTCCAAGTTCCGCGGCACCCAGGGCACCGCAGTGGTCGGGCTCTTTGGCCTCACCATCGCTAGCACGGGTGCGCTGAGGCCAGGGGAGAGCGTTGTCAAAAACAGGTTGTCTGGGGATATCTCCGTGCCTCATCACATGCTGCCTGTGAAGGGTTGTCTGGCTTGAGGTTTGTACCGGCTGGAGGCCGGACAGCTGAACCCACCGGTCGCTGCTCGCGTAACACCGCACCGCTGGCCCTGCCCCCATGCCTCCCAGGCGCCAACGAGAAGACCCTGAAGCGCCTGGGCCGGCCCTACGTCAAGGTCTACACCCATGGTAAGGCGGGGGTGGCCCCTTACAGCAAGCTGCAGTCGCGCGAGAGCCATGCCAGGGGCGCGGCGGGGCTCGTAAGATCCAACAGGCAGCTGGACTCGTGCATCTGCGCCAACGACATGGGACTCCCATTCATGTGCTTCCTTGCACTTGGGTACTGTAGGCCTCACAACCGTTGTCGCTCCACCCCTGAACCCTGGCAGCCAACAATCACGCCGGCTACTACCCTGGGGCCTCCACCATTGACTTCAAGCTGCTGTTTGACCCCAAGGTGCTGATGACCTGCAAGCCCCATTTGGGCGTGCGTGCACACGCACACGACTACATGTGCGACAGCATACACATCAGTCTACGCAGCATCGTCATTTGCTTACTTGCAATCGCTTTCGCACTCAGCGGCCCTCCACACCTGTGCAGGCTCATAGCCATGCCGCGCCCCATGTGCACGCCTCCCCGACACACATGATCACAGGACGGGTTGATCCTGGGCTGCCAGGCCACTGGCACAGAGGGCGTGGACAAGCGCGTTGACGTGGTGGCGGCGCTGATGCAGCTGAGGGGGTCAGTGTTTGACCTGGAGGAGGCGGAGCTGTGCTATGGTGCGGTGGAAGAGATTTGGACGGAGGAGACCTGGGCGCGGCGCAGCGGCAGCGTGGCTGGGCGTGATCAGGCGACCCGAGGGCTTGTCATTACGGGTCCTCGGTCCTTCATGATTGTGAACGGGGCAAGTGGAGGACACTCCTGCACCACCGCTCCTGCACTGCGCTAGCAGCCGCAGCAACCCACAAGCGCCCACCTCGCCCTGCATGCAATCCCACTGGACCGCAGCCCCCCAGTACGGCTCCGCCAAGGACGTCCTGAACCTGGCCGGCATGGTGGCAGCCAACCACCTCAGGGGCGACCACCCCATTGTTAGCTGGTGCGGCCGCCGCTTGTGGCTTCTCCATGGCTGCTTCACCAGAAAAGTGTGTTGCGTGCTTGCGTAGGGCGTCTACCTGCATGCAGTTGTTGCCACGCAGCGCACAAAAGGCGAGGTGCATCTTTGCTTGTGCAAGCACATGTGCTTGGGTGCGGCTCCCAGTGTCTTCAGAGGATAATACCATTGTCGATTCCACTCACAGAAGCTGCAATGTGTTCTGACACCCTTATCACCTGCGTCCCTTGGTTTATCAAATCAAAATGTTTCAGGGACGATCTGCCACGCGTAAAGGAGGAGGTGGCGGCCGGCACCGCTGTATTGGTGGATGTGCGCGAGGTGCGGCCATCTGCACTGCAGGGTCAAGGGTGATTGGTAGTGCCACGCCCCCTGGTCCTTGTCTGGTGCCGTGGAGGCTATCATCACGACTATCACTACCTCTGTGTGCGAGCCGGCTCAGCACTCCACAGGGAGTGTGAAAGGCGGGCAGAAGCAGCAGATTGATGGACAGCCTGGGTTGCACGGCAGCAGCGACCGCTGGGTGTGCGACGCCTCCAAGTGGTAGATATAGATGCATACTAACTAATTACCGGATGCCTAAGGCAGCAGTGCTGTTTCCAGGCAGCTACAGCACCATTTCCCAGACTGCAGCAGGGAATTGATTTCTACTGCTGGCAGGCAAGGGGTTAATCGCCGACAAGCCGGGTTGCTTTTCCCGGCTGTCACTCCCTGGTTCCCCGCCGTTTCGGCAGTTCTTGTTTTGCCCCCGTCCCCCAAACACCCCAACCCTACCCGCACAACACTGCACCGCCGCCGCAGCCCTCGGAGGTGGCACGCGGCACTGTGGAGGGCGCCCTCAACTACCCCCTCAGCAGCCTCAGGGCGAGGCTCCACGAGCTGCCAAAGGGCAAGCGCTGCTATGTGTTCTGCCAGGTGCGTGCGCCCCGGCCGATACACGCCGCGATGCGCACGTCGAGCAGGCTCAACATGCTGGGCACAGGCACCATTCGCGGGATGTATTGCTGGTGCCGGGCAGTATCTCAAGTGCCTGTTCGGAGGAGGAGGAGATTGGAGCTCAACTGGACCACTGGATCTAGCCGTTTCCTGCAGGCGCCTTGGCAGGATTCGGTCTGCAGGCAGTCCAACCTAGTGTGCACCGTTGATGCACGGCGCAAGGACCACTCGTACGTGCCAAACACCACAGGTCGGCCTGCGCGGCTACAACGCCACGCGGCAACTCCTGCTGGCCGGCCGCGACGCCGTAAACATCAGTGGCGGGTGGCGCTCGGCGCTGCAGGCTGGCGTTGTCAGCAGCACGCTGTGATGCCCGTGCTCGGCGCTGCAGGCCGGCGTCGGCACCAGCAACCTGTGCTGCCCCCACCTGCACGGCAAAGCATAGCTTCAAATCAAATCAAGGGTCCTCAAAAAGTGACACCCCAGGCTGCATGCATTGCTCATGAGAGACTGCACAGCCAAGTTACAGTGAGATTGGGACAAGCGCCAGCAATCCGGATTGCTGCTCAATACCCTCACCACTTGCCACACAAATCATCAAGAGGACTGTCCACCAGAAGTCCGTATTCACTCATTTGCATCGGTGTTTGGTGTTGCCTGCTGCTGTGGTGCCTGCTTGGAAGGGCAGCTGGCGCTAGGTACTACCGTGACTTGTTTGGCCCGTATCTGCATAAACCTGGACAGAATATTCGAACGGAGGATGCTGCAACTAATTCATTCCTTCACAAGGTATCTGTTTGGTAACAACTGGCGACCGACCGTACTCAGGTGCTTCATTTATAGGTTACAAATATCCATCTGCTTGTCAACACAGTCCAGACACAGCTAGGTCAAATAGCTCGTTGCCCAAAGCAGGACATCATGATGAGTTGTGTCGCATGGCAAGCGTGCTGCGACCAGCAGCATTATTTACAAGAACCTTTGTTGGTGCCCTTGCAGACCTGCCTTGCAAAGCGGCTGCCCCAAACCTTGGCCCCGTCGCCACACAGAGGGTGCAGCGCCGGGGCCTTGTACGAATGGGCGATGACAAGTGCTCCTAAAACCCACACCTGTGCGTGCGCAGGAGCCCCTGCGCAGGAGCCCCTGCGCAGGAGCCCCTACGCACTTGTGTACAACGTCACGCGGCGCCCCACAAAGTCCAAAAGCCAAGCGCTCGGCCATGCGCGCAGCATCACTGTGCCAGCAGCACAGGGTGCGCAACGCATGTCATGCAGCAGGAGTGAGAAACGCACGTTGCAGCCACATGGCGCATCCGCCCGACGATGACAGCCAGACGCCACGGCTTTGGTCGGCCTGGGGAGTGGTGACATCACTGCATGACATGTTGGTAGTCTACGCTGCAGCAAAGTGTGCTGTGAAGTAAGGAGGGAGGCCTGACTCTCCCGTCATCAACAAGCTATAGTCAGCCAGAGGGGGACACGACAGGGGCGCAGCCGGCCGCGTCATCGTAAATGCCTGAGCGATCGCTTTGCTGACTAGGTCGGGGGTCAGTTCGTGGCTAATTCAGTTGGCGCGCCACCGGATCAGAGGGATCGTCGGCGGGCAGCCGGCCGAGGCAATGAGGGAACTCGTGCCGTTCGTTCTCGTGCCGGCAGCCACATGAGTAGTGTGGCTGCAGGCGCAAGAGGAGCAGCAGTATGCGCCTATGTACACAAGACCTGTTTGAGTGATTCCAATCACTGACCCTAATCTCGATTGTCCAACGATGTATCAAGAACATACACACATATCAGCACGCCCTATCCTCGGCGCGCAAGCCTGCGGCCATCACAAAGACGGGCGCCGGCCGAGTGCATGCTCACGACAGCGAGACGAGCCCATCGCCGGGCCTCACAAAGGGGCCCTTCTTTGCCATGCGCAGCCCCGCGTCCGCCGCGCGCCCCCGCTGGTCCCTGCCCGCGCCGCCGTCGCCGTCGCAGTCGCTCGAGCCGCAGTCCGAGCCAAACACGTCGCGGCCGCGGCCCCCCTCATCGCTCGTCGCCGAGCCTCCGGACCCGCTGCTGCCGTCGCCGCTCCCGCCGCGGCGCGCCCGCGGCGAGCGCGGCGCAGCGGGGGCGTCGTCGGCGCCGTCAGAGGACACGGCGTCAAAGGATGGCAGCGAGTCCACAGAGGACTGCGACTCGAAGGACAGCCGGTGCGCCAGCACCGCGACCTGCGGCCGCGCTTGGGCGAATCCACCGGGCACCTGCGGGCGCGGCTTGGAGGCGGCAGCTGCGGCGGAGGCCTTGGCGGCGCGCTTCGCGAGCTTCTTATAGGAGCCCGCGCTGTCCACCTCCGCAGCCGCGATGCAGACGGCGTCCAGGATGTGCATGGTGGGGTAGGCCATCTGTTCATGGGTGGGCAGGTGGGGCGACATGTTGGGCCGACACATGCTTCTGGGGATGTGTGCACGATGGTTGCCGGTGTGTGCAGAGCGCGCTTCCGCTCCACCACGGTGTTCATCCGCCACACCGGCATCATCTTGCAGCCCGCAGGCGACGGCGAGGTGGTCTGTGCCTCTGTGGGTCAATCCACATCGCCCCAAGGCGAAGCTCACACAAATTTCGCGCCAGTCCTGGACCCTAATCTCCGCTCAGCTAGCAGACCTCGCACATCCACCGCGCCCACCTTGCCCTCCACAAACGCCAGCTTGTCCATCATCTGCCCAGACTCGCGCGCCACGGCGCCCTGCACGGCGTCCATCAGGCCCGGCAGCCGCCTCAGCGCGCTTGGCACCCCTGCGGCGGCGACGTCATTGATTTTTTCTCAGTGCTTGAGGTGGGGTGGAGGCAAGCCTGTCGCGTTTACAAGAAGACATGTCGCAAATGCGCGCTGCGGAACACTTTAAACTGCACAAAGCCCTCACAGTGTTGCACTGCCAGCCCAAGTGACCCTGCGTTTGCAGTCGGCATGCTGTCAGGGCCGCTTGATGTCGCAAGACCCCGCCTCACCCTTGGGCCACATGCAGAAGCGGTACTGCACGCGCGACAGCGGCCAGCCGCCCGGCTTGCTGGGCGTCTGCAGCGTGAACGCCCAGCTGCCCTCCAGCTTCAACATCAGGTCCTGGGGTTGCAATAGATGAAGTTGAGTGTGGACGGCGCGTGCTTCAAGGAAAGGCTCTGTGTCTGCTGTTTGCTCCCAACATGCGGGGGGGGGGGAGGACAGGCCAAAGGGCTGGCCACAAGACTGACCTCTGGGCCGCTGCCATTGTTGAATATCCCCCTCACCATGCTGGAAGCACACAAGCCTCTGCAGCGCGAAACGCCCCAGACGCCTTCCCCTACCACATGCACCGCGCCACTTGCGCAGCCGCTTCTCCGTCCCCCCCCCCCCCGTCCCCCAATGTGCAGTCGCGGCACTGCCATTTGGCGCGCGCACCGACTGGATGAGCTCAAACGTGACAGTGACCGCGGCGCCTGACGCGCTGAGGTCTGCGCACTGGCGCACGCGGGTGCGCGCCCACTTCTTCCAGAACAGTACGCGCATCGGCGCCACGATCGTCACGTCCTCCTGCAGCGGATCCCCCGGGCCGCCGCCGCCGCCGCGGTGGGCGCGCTGCTCCACGCGCCATATGCTGGAGCCCTCTGCGGGACGACTCGCGGTTGCACGGGCGTGGTGCAGGGGCGGGGTGATTCAGCGTGGTGTGGGGTCCCAGGTGGGACAGGGGCAGCGTGAGTTCAGGTCTCGTGCCGCAAGAGCATGTGCCTGAGCCGCCCCATCTCCCGAAACCTCCAGCAGCCCCCGCGTGGCAGAGACACACGAGGTCAAGCTGAAACCTGTATAAAACTTAATAAACGCTATCTCGCGAGGGCAGACGCGCACCTGGCGCGCAGAGGGCCAGATAGCACTGCTCCGGCGTAAGGCGCACGAAACCCGTCGCATCGGCGCAGACACGACTATTATTAGTGTCTACAGATGTATTCACTGCCCACTGAGATGGTGCCATGGCGCGGACGCGATGGCTGATGGGCAGATGTGTGCGTGGCGGGTCAGAGATCCGAGGAAGGGGAAACCTGAAGCCATAAGAGGGCGCAATAGCTGCCGTATGACGCGTGAGAATGTTGCCGAATGACAATCGCGTCTGGGGACCGGGCGAACATGCGCGCCGGACGAGAGAGCTGAAGGGCCGGTTGGCCGCCGAACGAATGCTTTAGCGGCTGATGCACTCACTTCTTGGCACTTGGATTGATTTTCTCACACATAATATGAGAGGCAAGACTGTCTGAAGGGCTCCTCGCCCCATCTCGCTCGCATGCTGTGCACGCTTCCGTATGGGGGCGTTGTCACACACTGTGTGACCTGTGTCACAGGCCAGAGCAAAGGCAACCAAAGAATGAGCACAAGTACCATGAACTTCATTGCATAACACTGTGCAGTATTTCCTACGACGTGCCTGGGCCATGCGTCATTTGTGTGCTGACATCTCGCAATCGCCTCCTGAGGGCGGGTGGAGTAAGCTCATAAGCATGTCCGAAGACTGGTTGCTGCGTCAAGCATCCTGGAGGAGAATAAGTTCCTGGTGCGCTGCATTCAGCCCGATGCTGCTGACCATCTCGCCCTCCCACCACTGCTCATCCACCCCGCCCAATGAGGACGAACTCAGCCGCACCTGCCGCATGAATGCAACAAGCCTTGAAATGCCTACACACTCCGACTTGCATACATCATAAACCAAAGGGTGCACTGTACTTGGCTGCGAAAAGACGACGTCACCAAGGTTTGGCCGTGACTCTCACGGCAATGGCTCGTCCACGACCTGTGCCACGGGGTAGAACTTTGTTGCGATAGTTGAGAGAGATTTCGAAGATTAATTCACGGCAAAGAAGAGCCATGCACTCAACCACCCTGCGCCGCCCCTGTGCGACCCAGCCGAAAACTCACCTCGACCCTGGGGCCCTGCAGCGCAAGCGGCACTGCAACACCCACATAATGTGCAGGTGACCAGGTGCATGCATTCAATTCGAGTGCATCGCCGCGCTGCCCATCACAGTTAATTTGGTCTGCCTGTTGTGCACGGGCCTCGGCAGCAGTGGTGGCCAAGCGACAGCATCGTCGCTGAGCGCCTGCCGTGCCGTGAACGGCCGCCCCATCCCTGCCCTAGGAGATCACTGCGATCCAAACCTCTTGGTTTCCTCCGTCATTGCAGTGCGAAAAACGAGCTCCAGGAGATCTGCGTCAAGAGGCTCTGGCCATCGCCTGTATACACGACCAAGTTGGCGTCGTCGGCGGGCCCCTCCTTTGCCCTGTGGCGTTTCGGCGACCCCGGCGCAGAGGCGTCGGGGCCCTTCCAGGTGACTGTCGAGGTGGCCTCTTCCCCCAGGGGTCCCAAGACCAAGCTAAAGGGCGAGGGCGCCGGCCACACAAAGCGCACCGCCGAGCAGGAGGCGGCGCGGCAGGTGCTCGGCAGCCGCCAGCTGCGCAAGCAGGTGGCGCTGCACGCCGCGGCCGCCGTCGCGCCGCGCAAGGAGGGCCCCTGGAATCCCAAGGGTCATCTGCAGGAGGTCGTGTCCAGGGGGCTGCTGGAGATGCTTGGGTTTGGCAAGGAAGATGCATTCATAGAATGTGAATCTGTGTACCGAGGCGGCCTGTCGCATGCGCCCATGTTTGAGGAGCGCGTGAGGGTGGTCGCCCCTCCTTTGGCAGTCAGCAGTGGTGAAGAAGACGCGGAAGATGAGGAGGAGGACGAGAGCAACTCGGATGCGGGTGCCTCTTCCAGCATCTGCTCCTTCCCGCGCCCTGCTACAGGCACGGCAGTTGAGGCCAGCGGGCGTGGCCCCAGCAAGCGGGCGGCGCAGGCTGCTGCGGCAGAGGCGCTGTTGCTTGAGCTGCAGGGGCAGCTGGAGCGCCTTTCCCGCTCCACCAAACTGTAAATTATATGTCCCTGTATACTATGATGGGCGTTGCGGCTTGACCAACATCGTAGTGGTGCGATCGGGGCGGGCAGAGCGCAGGCGCCATGCCGTGTGCCGCCACCCGTGGTTGGTGGGCTCTCTGTTGCCGCAGGCTGAGGTTGTTTCTTGTGTTGCTTGGCCCTCAGCTCATCTGTGATTGTGCCTTTGGGCTGGTCAGCTTGGCAAAAGCAGGCGGGCTTTGGCCTGTCATGGACTGTTCGCTCAATGAATGCTTTGCATTTAATCCATTCATCTTGCCCTGGGAAATGCCAGTGTAGGGTTGGCTGGGTGGCCAGCGGCGGCCTGAGACGGCAGCAGCAGCGCTGCAGGCACGGGTACAGTAGTGAGCCAGGTGGGCCAGTCGCAAGAGCAGCGCGGCCATGCACCTGTGGCTGAAGCCACTTGCCTAGTTCAGAGTTGTTAATCGAAGTCTCACTTAGAATACCTGATATGCCGCAAAATACGAATGTGGACTGTCTTTGGCTGGGTTTCTCAGTTTCGAGGCAAGATCGTTCTCGACCTGTGCCACGGGCAGCGCCTCGTCATAGGAACTGGCAGAATGCCCAAAACAGCTCCTTGATAAGTTCGTGAATGCAGACCCAAGCTTCGACCTCGGTCGAACCCCCAACCTCGCCGGCGGTGCCGCCGCCCCTGCCGCAGCTGCTCCAGCACCTGCTGGCGGAAGCGCCTGTGAGGGGCGCGGTGCGCCGCGAGCCCCTGGTGCCCTGGGCCGTGCGGCAGCTGGGCCTGAGCTCCGAGCGCGAACTGGAGCGCATCTGGGAGAAGCCGCTGCTGCGCCAGAGGCTCAATACCCTGCTGCGCGGCCTGAAGGTGCGGCGGAGCTCGGGCGTGCGCGCGTGCCGCACCTCAGGCGTGGCCGTATGACAGCTCGGATCGATGCACTCTCAAACGGCCGGCACTTCCTGCTCGGACAAAATCTCGCCTTGTGTCCGCGCCCGACTCACTCCGCGGCCTGGCTGCCGGCTGCCTCGCCACGGATTCACACACCCTCTCCCGCCTCCCCCTCACACACTTGCCCGCTTCCACAGGTCCGCTGCCACGTCTACCCCGACCAGCTGCGCGCCCCCGGCCGCGCCTGCGGCGGCTGCAGGGCTCAATTCAAGGTCGATTACATCGACCCCCGCCCCGCGGGCGACATTCGCCACCCCGACCACCAGCATCCCGGCGGGGCCGCTGTTACGGTCGTGGAATACTGGCGCTCCCACTTCCCCGACGCAGCGGCGCTTCTGCAGCTCGACCACGGCAGCAGCTATAGCAGCTACAGTAGCAGCGGCGGCGGAGGCAGCGCGACCGTCGGTGGCGGCAGCGGCGGCGGCGGCGAAGCGTCAAGGCTGCCATGCCTGGCGACGTTCAAGCCGAGCAACGGCGGCGCCCCGGCTGGCCTTGGCGCCGACGAGGAGGTCCGCCTGAACAGCGAGGAGTGCTACCGGGTGTACCCCATGGCGGCCTGCAGCATCGCGGTCGATGCCGCGGGGGGCCCTGCGGACCGCCGAAAGCCGCTGCGCTGCGGCGCGGCGTGGCGCGACTCGGGGGAGCCGCCCTGGGTGTCGAGGGCGCTGGCCGCGATGGCGGCGGCGGCGGCGGCGGCGGCGGTGGCGGCGGCGGCGGCGGCGGGCACACGACAGGAGGGGCGGGGGCAGGGGGCGGCGG